GGGGGGTGTGTGTCACGCCAGGCCCGTGGGACCGGTGAGGGATGCGGTGCGGACCGGGAGCGCTCCGGTCCCGCTGACTTCAGGGAAGCTGGGATCAAACTGCCTCCAGACGCGGCCCTGCGCGGGATTTAGAGCCGGTTCTGAGATGCCGAGGGGAAAACCGGGTTGATTTGTTCCCGTTTCTGGCCTTTTTTTTTTTTGTGTGTGTGTGTGTCTTTGCATCAGCAGCGTAGCGAAGCCGACTGCCGACCGGTTGTACTCATTAAGGCTGTGGGGTTGTACTGACTCTGTGGTGTCCCCAGCACGGGATGGTGTTGCTCAGCAGCACGGTGCTGCTGGTACAGTCCAGCACGGACTAAACCTATGTGGAGGAACTTCCTGGAAGCGTCTGGCACAAGTCTATAGTAGCTGATAGGGTTTTTGTTCTATAACTGCCCACACCTGTAATCCTTTCTCCTCCGACATTCACCATCTTTGATGGAAAATAGTTTCAGATGTTTCGATGTTTGTTCTCCTAAAGCAGAGGGGAATAAGCCATACTACAGCTATCCTAATCGATCAAACTTAAAAGCATAGATCAATATTGAAGATAATGTGTGGTTGGAAAAAAAAAAAAATGTTACAGAGAGATACTATGCTGATATAAGAGGGTTTTTTACATGAAAGTAGCAGCTAAATCAGTAATCTGTCTTCCGTTATGCACTCAGCAGAAAGAACCCTTAAAAAAAAAGCTTTTTTAAAGATTAAAAAAAAAAGCCAAGTAAGGGGAGCTGTTTCTTAGGTTTTGTATGTAACTGCAGCCTGACTTTGAGATGGGATGGTGTAAAAATTATGATGAATTTGTATAGTCCTTAAAAGGAACAGCGAGTAGTAGATTGGTCAGCTTGCATAGTATATTTGACATCGCTTGTTGCAGTCAGTTTCATTGTCTTGTGTGTTATGTTTTCTCTTTTGTCTCGGAGCACTAGTGAAAACGAGCAATGGGCAGTGTAAGTGGGAAGGAAGAATGCTTGAAATTCTGTCCTTTAGAAGTCTCTGATGGGGCTGGGTGTACTCTTGAGCTTTGGTCTTTTGTCTGTTGACAATGACAAGCAGCAGTCAAAAAATCAGATGATAGTAGGGTATATACTCGATTGAGGAAAAATAGAAGAAATAGTATAGTATTGTTGATCTGCTTGGTGATGTTTTGAGCAGTAGTACTCATACGGAAAGGATGTGCAAAAAGCTAACGTCTGTTAAGACCTACTGCTGAACTTCTTCAGCTAAAGTTTCCCCGAGTAGTGCAGTATTAGGCTTGATGGGACAAGATCGGCTTTATTAGGACAGCTACAAGTTGTATGAACGTAAAATTAAGAGGGGGGAAGAATTCTGGTTTACTGTAGTTTTCCTTCTATTGTCCTTGACAATTTTGTGTTACCTCTTAGGTAAAAATCTTGCATGTTAAAACTGCAAAGTTACTCTTCTTAAATATGGGAGCATTAAATTTCTAGGCAAATACTTATTTAAAGTTCAAAGCTCTTAGAAAAACAAGGAAGTTAAACCGAGATTTAGGTCGGGTCCTCCGCTTATCCAAGTATGCCTCCTAAAGTCTAGGATAGTGACTTTGGCTTCAGAGAAGCTTTTGAGTAAGTCTTGCTTTGTATTACAATGGCAAGAATGTTACTTGAACCCTGGGTAAGAAGGGATCTAATCTCTTCTTAGGACAAGCTTTTGGGTGGTAGGAAATGAAGAGCATTTCTTCTGGGGAAAATGCAACCTTTGAATAGAGCTAACGTTCATTAAGGCAGGGAATAATGCCAAAATCTGAAGGGCTTTAAGAAAATGTTTTCTAAATTTCCTTTTATAATTAGGGAGCTACATTGCTTTGCCATTAGCATCAATCTCGACCCTGGAATGAGGGGGGCTAACTCTGCTAAGTTGTAAAATGTTTACAGTTTTATAGGTTAGCATAAATGCTTAGGTGACCTGCTCTGTGAAGTAGCGAGCTCTCCTTGGAATTTGTGGGGTGTTTGAGATGAAGTTAATTAGAAAATGGCGAGCTTTTTTTTTTCTGTGTCTCTTTCAGTTACATGTTGAAATAACCAGGTTTTGATGACATATTTCAAGCAGTGAGCTGTTTCCTACAGTTGATGATTCAACAATTTTGTGTATCTTTCAGGTTATGAGTGTGTATAGTAATGGGCAAGCATGTCCTCCACGGGCGTTTGTGAAACGGAATCTGAATCTTGTACTGGCTTCATGCTAAGCCCTTGTTTCTTTTACTTACGTTAAATTTTATTCTTATCCTAGTGCTGTTCTCAGATAAACTAGAGGTTGGGAGTGGTATTCTGATATAATAGTTCTCAGAATAGAAAATTCAGGAGTCTGCTTGTTTGAATACACTCCCTCTGTCTTTCAACACCACCATCAACCCTTTCATATGTGAAACTAGTGTTCTTTGCAGATGGGAGAGATCACGGTGGAAGCCTCATGAATTCCCAGGCAGACACGCTTTCTGAGATGCAGACAGAGTATTTGCCAGGAACTTCGGGACTTGTTTTTTGGTGAGGAAGGCCAACTATGTGTGGGTATAGCATACAGGTTGTGGCATGACGCTAGACAAAAATCACACAAGAATGTGTCCTTTGGGTTTTGCTCACGCTTAAATCGGTTGTAAGAAAGTTAAATTCCATTATGTAAGTGTGCTTGCCTCAGTGAGGTTCTGAGTAGAAATCAGATGGATTTCATCCCAAAATCTGATAGTTTCACAAGGGAGGAGCTTGACTTTGATTATTGTTGTTTGATAAGTGACCAGAGCAGACCAGCTACTTGAGATTTGATTCTGGGAAAAAACTGTCTTATGCATGATAAAGCATAACATTTTTCAAAGTTACTGCCTTCACTAAAAAGAATCTTCATACTTGTATTTTGGTCATAATTTAATATATCCCAGATATAATTGGAAATAATGGATTTGCATGGAAATAAATCAAGCAAGACTAAGATTTTCTGGATTGCTTCAGAATAACAGCCACTCTAAAAAGCAGCATGTAGTTGTCCAGAGTGCTTTATGCTCAGTTTGGTTCTTTTTTTGTTTATAGAAGAAATATGTAAATTCAGACCACAGATGCCTGTATGAAAGAAGAAGCTTCTTAGATCATCTTGTAAAGTACCTTATTACTGGGATTCTTGGTATTCTATTGAACCGATGGATTTAAGATAAGCAGGAAGGTGTTGTTTGGGTCAGCTGCTTCAGTCATAGGTCACGATCTCAGCCTGTTTTGGTTTTTTTGCTGTTTATATAGCTCAGGCTGCTGGTATTACAGATACATGTGAAGAAACTGGAATTCTGTTTCTGAATTTTACGTGTTTGGACTGGCGATCTGAAAACGCTTTCCTGGTCAGTTTATTGCTCTGAGGGGGAAATCCGGTTAAGTTAGTGGTGACTTAGCTATTTTCTTCCCCAGCTAAATAAGTCAACTCTTTTGTGTAGGTGGAGAGCAGTCCATAGTGCAGGCAGAAGTAGTTGTGGTCTGTGACTGCAGCGTGCAGGTAGCAAAAAAACTGTAACGGAACAAAATTATCTGCCAAGGTTGGATTTATATGGAAAGGCTTCCAGGTGGCTGTATTAAGCTAAAAAGCACTTCTCCCCCCTCCACCTTGCCTGAAAGCGAGAAAGGCAGAAAAAGCAGTACCTTTAATATGTGCTTGTAAATAGTAAGAATAATTGTTAGGACAAAACGTAGTTACTAGTTTTGAAAACTTGAGTTATTTGAATGTTAGGAGGTTTGTATTGTAAAATGGAGTTAAGGCTTTGCTTTTCGCTTCTGAAAGATGGCATCTGTTCGCACAGCAGTATACTGCCCTGAGGAGGTATCCCTTTGATATTGGACAGAGGGAAGTGGTAATTTTAGCAGGCAATAAATTGCCCGTGTAAATGTCAGGAGAGAAGGAATGGAGAAATTACTGCTGTTGTGTGCTGCAGTTTGGTTTACAGAATTGGTTGTGTCTGCAGCATTGGAAAGCCTGAGATTTTACAGGAAAATTGAGAGGTTCAGGATCCAGCTGATACCTAAGGTTAAAATTCTGCCGAGTCCCTAATAAGTGCCAAGATTATTTTCATAGCGCTTCCCTTGTTAGGACTGCATGTGCTCTGCCGGGGTGCAGCAGTGCTGCTAAAAGGAAAGGTTGCAGCTACCAGGGGACTGAAATGAGGCTGGAAATGCCAGCTTTAATTGCATTTTGGTGTGAGTGACTACGCTGTTCAACAGTGAAAGTTGCTACAGCGCATTTGATAGCAGTAGCTGGAAGCGCTAGAGGCAGCATGTTCAGCTGTAATATCAAGCCACAGTAGGGTTATTTGAGGACACCGTTCCAGGATTAACTCTTAAATTGCCTACTCTGATCTCTTAATGGTAACGCTTGCAGGTTTTGCTTGTATATGTGAGTGTTTTGGTATTTGATTACTCAACTTAGAGTTAACGTTGACGGGAGAAACCAAATGAAATGTAGATCCTGTAATTTATAAGCTATATAAAGTTGAAGCTCTTCATTTAGATACACTACACTGCCTTA